ATAAGGGAGAAAACAATAAAGCAGTCATAGGCATAGGGCTACACAGATGCTGGTACAATCTCCTTCCTCCAGGAATTATACATTCAGCTCATCTCCATACTGCCATTAATCCCACCAGGGAGATGCTTCCCTCATTCATTCCCTGAACATGGAGGCAAGGAAGAGAAAGCAATGAGGCACTTCCTCTGCCTCTGTGAGAAATGCTTTTCCTGGTAAGTGGAAGCACAGCTCCCAATCCCAGCCCAGACCTAGGCTTTGTTTTGTTGTTTTTCTCATTCTCTTTTCAAAATTCTCCTTCCACAAATTTCTTCTCTGGCTAAATGGAGCCACGGTAAAGAAACAGCAACTAATTAAAATGAACTGCCAGTACACAATAACTCCTCCGTGCCAAAGGCAAACATAATCTTCCCCAAAAGGACACGCAAGCCCTCAACTAAACAGTAACTTCCTTTCTTCCCCCTGTTACCTAAATAACGATCAAAGCAACCAAGAGGAAAAGTCACCTCCCTTTCCCCATGCCTGCCTTGCCCGGACTTGGCATCTCCACGCCAGCAGCAGGGCTCTGTGCTCCTGGGGATTTGCTCAGGGAGCTGGAGCTGCAAGCAGAGAGAAGGGATGGCTGCAGATCACCCCCGCCTTGTGTCTCCTTATAGAAGAGGTGGCACGCTCCTAGCTGGCTCTGTGCAGAGCAGAGCATTTGCCAGTTTTGGACCTTTGCTCTGCTGAGGATCTACAATTTTTGCATCTGCTCCTGAGCTGCAGGGAGGATCCGGGCATCTGAAGGCGCAATGCTCAGAGCCTGCTAAACAGACTAAAGCCACATGAATCTTTCCATCACCACAAAGGCCAGAGAAGGCTCTGTCAACCTGCAGGTAACCTTCACTTCCAAAGTAGAGCACATCCCTGTACACGCTGTGTGGGGGAGAGAAAGACAGACAGTGAGTTATGCGTGTCCTTGACTCCAAGCAAGCTGAGAATTGCAACAGAGAGTGGGAGAGAGCTGGAAAACACCCAACTGCTTGTGGGGGCTGCCACCAGCTTCTCCCTCCAGCTTGCAGTCTTTCACTTTTACCATCCTGCTCCTGGAGATCAGCCTGGCTTAGTCCTGCTGCTGGGAAGACAGGGCTGTGGTCAGATCAGTGCTGACATCACTACTTGGCTGTAAGAGAGCCCAACTGGCACGAGGTCCAGGAGCCTTTTTTGTCCTGGTTGAGCTGAAAATCAAAGCACTTCCCACGGCTTATGCACAAACCCATGGCTCATCTGCTCCGTAGAAAACCAGCTTCATGCCTTCACATCTGCTATAGGCAACTGTACAGACAGAAGTGCACACTGAGGCTGCACTGTCACAGGGCTGACCATCACGACTTCAGGATGTGCACATTGAAGTTGACTCCTGTGAAAGGTCAGGTCCTCAACCTCAGCATCCTCAGAGCAAGCAGATCGTGCCAGCAGGGTTTTCACACAGCCCTCTTTTACTTTGTGGTGTACAGAACAGAAGCATGAGGACTTACTTGCGCTGCAGGAAAGGAAGTGACAGCAGAGGGGCAGTAACCTTTTGCTGAAATATAGTAACTTAAACAAAAAAAAAAGGTTCTGAAGATGGATCAGATGCTCCTCTGATCACATCTTCAGCTGTAAGATTTCGCCTTAGCAGCTTTTTTACCTGCATCCAGGCAATGGGAGCTAAATTCACTGATACAGTCATTACTGCACACACGGCTACAACCTGCTCAAGGTAATTCCTCCCCAAGGGCAGGGGAGAGGGAAAGTGAGGGTATTTGGAGCGGCTCCTGTTCAATTGTCTGGAAAGTGATTGAATGCTGTAGCACTTAGATACATACCAGCAGCAAGGCAGGAACAGGTCAGAGGTGACAGAGAGGATCTTGCCGTGTGAATATGGAGTTTAAAGAGAGATATTTAACCGTGATCCCATTTAAAGCCCTTTGTATACTGTGAGCTCTAGAACGTGTTCAAAGAGAAGTTGGCTGTGCTGTGATGCCACCCACAGCAGCACCCAGATAGGAGGTGATGTGGCTCCCAGATTAGAAACTGCTCCAATCTTTGCACAAGAGGGGAAGAAGGGTGCAGCCATCAACTCTACCTGCCCCAGTCACACATCCCAGGTCTGCTTCTGCTCCTCTGATCTCTGCTGCTGGCTCACCACCTCAGATCAGCCAGATGTCAGATATGGCCAGGACCTTGAACCTGCTGCCTTTGTTCTGTTTGCATCATTTTGCCCATCACATAGTTTAGGAAACACGACGGATTCTACATGCGTGTGAGCATGTGCACACACGGAACCAAAGGCAATCCTGAACCTTTTTATCAGTAAGTAATAACACCTGAACTTTGTGCATATATTCAGTTATTTAGCAATTAGTAGTTAATATTCTCAGTGGGTTTGGTTTTTTTTAATCTCCTCTCTTGGATCCTGGAATCCTTGGCACGAACAACCAAATGACTACAGCCAGCACTCCCTGGGAGCCCCCAGCTGCATAGCAGACAGCTGACTACATGGCCATAGCCCCCTGTTTGGGTGTGCTTTAATGAGACTGTTCATCAAGGCCAACAGCCAGAAGACCTACAGCTCTATAGGCCAGTTGGCCTGGTTGCTCAGCAGGTGGTTTTCATGGTGTGTGAGTATGCACCTGCAGACCCCTAAGAGACAAAGCATACCAAAGGATGACCATGGCTACCTAACCAAGCTGCACTGCTAATGCTACTGAGAAAGAAGCACTGTACTGTATAGTTTATTTTGCTTTACTGCATATGCCCTAAGAAGAATAACCAGACAGCAGCAACTCACTGCTGTAGGATTCTCAGAAGAAAAAAAGCATCCAGCAGAGCTCCCAAGCATGCTGAGCTCCTGCAGACAAGTGAGGACCGATCAGGACTAAAATTGCACTAAAATTTTCCCTCTAACACACTTTTTACAGCACCTGAGGGGCCTTTATGTTAATGTTCCACGTGACTTTCCAAGCTCTTTCTTTCACTCATGGCCTCTTGTGAGACAGAGCTGAGCCCCCTGTTCCTATAGCAGCAAGCAGAGGGCACAGACAAAGCCATTCTCCTGAATTCCCCCTTTCATGTTGCAGCAACAAAGCAGCTCACAGGGAGCAGCAGCATCCTAAGAGACTGTTCAAGGGCAGGACTGCTAAGTCCTGAGGGGACCTGTCAGCTTAAACTGCTTGAGACCTGCAAGTCCCAAGCTAGTTCTTGCACAGAGTTATGATTGCAGAACAGCTACTGCACTTTTGCAGTAGCTTTTCTGTCCTGTATGAGAGCTTTCTTCCTTTACACAGGTTTTGAAGCCTCTGCCATGCTGCCAGGTGTGGAAGACTCAGCTGCAGTGTGTCTGTGGTGTTGCAGAGCTATTGTATGAACATGCCATTACCTCCTGGCCATAGTCCTAGTCAATGAGAACAGCCCCATGCTCGGAGTACAGGCAGCTCCCATCTTCACAGTCCACGGCTGCAGGGATGCACAAACTTCACCGTGCCAAGGCCCAGATGCTTCATAAACCCAGCACACAGTGGTGCAGTCATGAAGCAACAAGGATCAGAGCTGTGCAGAAGGCACAAGATTGCCACCAAGGACTGTGGGGGCAGAAGCACTTGATTCACTCAATAAAGGATGAAAGTTGCACCGACTCCAGGGACCCTACTTCAGGGCCTAGGACGAACTTCTTTTCAGCACTGAATGTGGGGAGGACAGCCAGGAGCTGGCTTGAAGGCTGCTTGCACACCGGGGGGTCACAGCTTCGGCTCAGCACGGCTGTTTGTTCTCTGCCTTGATCTTCATCCCTCGGCTGCTCTGAAAGGAAGTTTGTCCGAGACAAGCGTGTATGGCACACAATGTCAGCTCCAAAGCAAGCTGCGAGGAAACAGATTGAGTTCTCTGTGCAAACCAACTGCAAATCCATTCCTTGGTGGCTTCGCTTGTGGGACACTTCAAAGGCACCAAGCATCCACGACACAGCTGCTGCCCTGGGGAAGAAGTCGTTGAATAGCATCCGTGAATGAGAAGTAAAAATTAAGCAGTTAGATTTGGCACGTGCATCACAATAAAGATCCCTGAATGCTTAGCTTCTTACTGAACCTAAGGCAGGCTGTTAATTCGTTATTCACTTCCCAGCCTGGAAGGAAAAGCATGTTATACCCGAGGGCCAGAACTGATGAACAGAGCCATAAATCAAGCAGTTTACAAGACCAGCAATTAGGAAACAAGCTGACAGAAGGGAGAACTCTGTCAGTAATAAAGCAGACACACCACAGGATCTGCTGAGTGCTCAAAGCAACTGGGGACATACAGTCCTTTCTATTCTCCATGTCTAATTCTTCCAGCCATTTGCTGCCTTTTCCTTTGTCTTCTATTTCCTTTTATTTCCTCTCATTTTCCCTCCAGTTTTTTCTCTGTTCTCTTCTCCCTCTCTTCTGAAAAGCCAACTGTTCCTCAGAAGGCAGGAACATACCTGCTGAGCAAATGGATGCAACAGCTGCCATCCAAGAGCAGATCTGGCTCCCGTGACTCTGCCCACTGCCCTTCCAGTGTTTCCCACTCCATTTCTGGCTCCTTCAAGTCCTGTGCTTGCTTTCCCTCCCAGTGCTGCAGTGCTGCATGCAGCATGGAACACCAGAACAGCCAGGCCCCAGCAGCTGCTTTCTGCATGCAGCTTAGGTGCACGTGCATCAAATCTGAGTGCAGACTGTTTAATCGAGCCTCTTGCTTTCTCACACATCCCCTTCTGCCCAGCATACTACCTCGTCTCTAGGACATCACATATTTGAGAAATCATTGCCAGTGGGGATATGTTTCTCCTGTATTAGCCTTTGGCACTCAGTACATGCATAAACAGGAGAAATATGGTGATTTAGGAGCCTTATTTTGTCAAGGCAGGAGGGAGACCAGATAATCCTCCCACCATCCCAAGATTGAATGGATCCAAGTATTTAAGTATGTGATATTCCAGAACAGCCCCTCAAGGGTCGGGAGGAATCTCAGCTTTGTGAAGTCTGCTCTATGGAAACACTTGCTGCTATCGCCCATCTGAAACCTTTCTAGCAGCAGACACAGAGGGCAGAAGCAAGAGAAACAAGGTCAGTCATTAGCATGCCACGGGATGCGCTCAGCCTTCCTGTTCCACAGCCAGCTCCCAGACAGGCTGCTCCCCTCTGCGGGGCGAATCAGCCCGATTTCAGCACATCACAGGCTCAGCTGATAGTCACTTACAGGAAACAAAGTGCTGCCTTTGAGTGCACATTACTCTAACGCGCTCCCAGCTGCCTCTGGTTTTGATCTTGAATGGCAAGGCTAAAGATGTGTCTGGAAGAGTCGTAGTCCATGAGAGAAGGGAACATCTCTAACCTTGAACACAGAGAGACTAACAATCCATCCCTCCCCCCCCCCAGTGCTGGGGCAGAGAGGCTTTGATGAGCACTTTGGCAATGCTATAGGAAGAGGCTGCAGTATAATGTTAAGTAATTAGGTGGCTGCACAGCAAAGGGAAAATAAAGTCAAAACCATTTCCATTCAAAGCAGATTCCAATGAAGGAGCAAACAGCTGTGTGACCGGAGCCAGGCTGCAGTGAACTCTGAGGAATTGGAGAGGGCAATGAGCTTCAAGGACTTGAGAAATACAAATCCTAGCCACGAGGCTGGGGCAAAAAAAAAAAAAAGCTCAGCAGCTGGGGAATTCTTGGGAGAAGATGGGAAATCCTCTTCAAAGGAAGGCTTTCCCCACCCAGATCTTGGCAAGCCATGAGCAGTTACGCTTTGCTTATCTAAGGTCTCTTCCTGGCCAGCCAGCTGCAGATTTCACACTTAGAATGGCTGGAGAGTTTCCAAACTCATCCCAAACGTGCTTTTTCCTCTGATGATGACTAAGATCTCAACAGATTGTATGTGTGGCTCGTAGAAGTGTGCCCTCAGGCAAACCAATCTGCTATCCAATGGGCCCCTGACTTCACAGAGCCACACAAGGGGCACCGGTGGCCAGCAAGTCCCCACCTGAGAGCTTAAATGGAGCTGTGCTGTTGTTTACCACCAGGTCCTGAAAAGGAAAAAAAAGTCATCTTCTCCTCCTGTGCTACCATAGCTGTTCATTTTGTCTAGTAGGTAATAATACGAGAGAAGAGCAACTGGCACTTCACCCATGGATTTCTTTTCCCAGAAATGGCACAGAGGCTTTCCACAGCATCAGGTAGGCTTCTGAATGGCACTCAATGGAAATTCCAGGCGCTTGGCTTTGCCCCAGATCACTGGGAAGGTCAGAGATTGCAACAAACCATATGCTCAGTCTTGGCTTTCCCTCACACTGCCAAGAAGTGTCTGCAAGGAATAAAGCCAGAAGGAACGTTAACTGATCACCACTGAAACAGAGCCTTTCCTTGGCTTTCACCTAATTAACTATCAAGAGGCAGTGACGGAAGGCCCCGCATTGCCAATAAAGAATGTAGGGTTGGTAATTAATTAGCAGCCCATTGGGATCCTAGCACCTCTCGCCCACAGTGAGCTCTATAGATTGATACAAAGGGAATTTAATGGAAACACAGCAGTTTTCCCGTTATGGCCTTAAGCAAAACAGAACTAGTTTTTGAAGGAACCTCATTTACAGTCCTCTCACATAACTGATGCTTAGCACCTAACCCTGCAGGTAAGGGATTGTATTGGAAAGGAACCTGCCTGCAGAATACTGGAATAAGAGAGAAAGCCCCTCAAGTAATTTGGTGAGCTACATTCACCACTCTCCAAGAATAAGAAAACAGCAAGAGCAGAAGTCACATCAAGGCAGTCCAGGGCATCATTAAAGGATGCTGAGAAGACATGATGAGAAGCAGCTGATAAAAGTCAAAAGAGGATCCTGGAATGAGACTGCCCCAAGGTTACGGAGGGTCTGACCCGCACATGGTAACATAACTTGCATTTAACCTGCACATCCTTCAGGCATGCATCCCATGTCACCCACACACAAACCCAAATCAGAGTCAGATCTGTGATGTGCATCCGCCTGTGCAGCCCATTTTATTGCCAGCCCTGAATGTAGTCCTCTTGAAAGATATTGCTGCAAGTCCCCTGCCCAAGCTTGCAGCTGCTCTCTTCCTAACAAGCTCTCTGGCTCATTAACCTTTCATTTTGCTACTCTTGTTCAAAGATGAGGTGTGGCATGCTTGCTCTCATGTCTATCAGCAAGTTGCAGGATCTTCCTGATACCACCAGCTGCCTGTTGGTCTCTCTCACAAGTGGACTCCATGCTGGGAGGCTCCACGCAGCCTTCAGACTCCTGTGATATTCCCAAAAAACCTTGTCTTTTCCTGTCCAACAGACATCACTCCTCTTTGTGGGCTCTCATTTTTCTACATACATATAGCTGTCAGTCCATGAAAACGTCAGCTTAATGCTCAGTAAGCATCAAGAAACAGATCAAGTGGTATGAATCATTTGGAATGAGAAAAAAAGAACAGAAGAATCTATGATTCATCCACACCTTGGATACTTTGTGCACTTGTGGTCCCTTCATCTCAAAGGGGATATCAGAACTGAAACAGATTCTGAAAAGAGCACAACAGATGGTCAAAAACACAGAGCATAATTAAAAGCACAATTACTGCAGGCACCATGAAGTAGGCTCAGACTTGTTAGCGTGTACAAGGAAAGGCTTTGGGGGAAAAAGTAGGGCTGTGAAGTCACTACTGGTCTGAAGGGGCATCTTCTCTTCATCTTCTCTTGCAAAACAAGAGCAAAAAGGAAGTGGGACAGCCCCAAGCATCCTGCCTTCCTTAATACCAGGGAGACCATCCTATCTCAGTGCTTTTGAACTGGTCTTTGCTTTGGATGAGACAGAGGACCAACTGTACTGACCTAATATCTTGCATTACCCTCAGGCAAATATCCTCCCTCTTCTCTTTGGTATCAAGAAAAAAAACAAAAACAAAACAAACAAACAAACAAGCAAAAAAAACAACAAAGCAAACAAACAAAAAAAACCCCCACCGTCCCAGCAGTCTCAGAAGTAGATATACTACATTAATGCTGAAGGTCTTTCCTTGTCTCTCCCCATCTGCCATCTTTCATTCATTATGAAGGAATCAGCCCCCATGTTCCATCAGCTCATAGCACCAGTCCACCCACCAGATTTTCAAGGAAGTCATGCTTTTCTTTATTCATACTTTTAAATGGGAAGAACACCCACAGGGCTGCTTACTTGTCTTCTTCAAAATCTTTTGCTGTGATTTCTGCAGGAAGCTTGACAGTCATTAGCACAGCACCAAGATCACAGTCAGAATCACTTCACAGCTCCTTGTTCACCTCCACCAGTCTCACACTTCAGTGGGGAGCTCTCTGGGACAGGCCTCCTCCTTTTTTCTTGTGATTGTACAGTTCCAGAGCACCTGAGGCTTTGTTCTATACCTCCCATGCTACATGAAGTCCAGAGGTTTTGCCCCACAGCTCCAGAACTTCCTCACTGCAGCCAGCAGCAGCCTTCAGCCCTAGAATCCAAGTGCTCACCCCACAGCAGCCGGACTGTGGCCCCAGCCTAGAGACATCTTGCCCCAAAATCTGGTTCAGAACATGATTCTGTTTCTATTCACCAATGCAAAACAGAAGCAAACACATTGTCAATGATATGCCTCTGCCTAGGCAGGCTCACTAGTTTCTGGGCATCTTTTCCTTCACCGCCCTCCTCCAGGTTCTACAGCTCCCATAAAAGCCCCTGGTTGACTCCCATCATCTCATCTTCCTTTCACCAGCTGGTCCAGGAATTCAGGGATCTAGAATGACCCCAGATCCCAAGGGCTATAAAAGAACAAGTCCTCTTAGGCTAAAATCAGGAAAGACTCTTCTCCTTTGGGCATAAGCTCTAAGTAAGAGAAAGGTTTAGGTTAATATGGAACCCAGAAATATATGTATTGCTTGCCCTACCTTCCCAAAAGCTGATCTGTTTGGAGGGATACTGTCAAATTAAGTGAGATGGAATCCGGCCTCCTATCTCCTGGGCACAGAAAAGGGCAAAGATTTTGGAAAAGATTTCCCACTCAGCTACTGAGCACCCAGCTCCAGATAGGCGCTGTGCAGTCATTTTTCACAGTGAATGTGGTTAAAAGCTGGACAGGAGCCGAGAGAGGCAGAGGAATACATAAACAGAGATATATTTGTAAATCCATCTGGATGAGGCCCAGACCAACTGGACCTAGCTTTGAAGTTGTGCTTTGAGCAAGAGCCCAGGCTGAAAACTCCATGGGGTTCCTTTCACACAGCATTATCCTGTGACTGTAGGACTCTATGGCCTTCAAACAGCAGGGATAATACCATTGCTTAGTAAAAACAGGACACTTCTCCAGACACAGAACACACCACAGAGCTCAGCTCTCCTCAGCTCCTCGGCAGGAGATACCCACACAGCAGAAGTACCTGGCTCTGTCCCTTAGGGTGCAGGTGAGCATCGCCTGCCTTGACAGCATCGCCAGAGTCCTCTAGATAAGCCAGAAGGAGAGGGCGCCCATGGAAAAAGAATCTGAAGGAAAACTGAAGTGTGGGAGTGGAATGCTGATTGGGTTGAATTTGCATTTCAGTAAAAATGCACTGACATCAATGTCTGGCTCTAAAAAAGCATTCCAATTTTAAAAGTAGTTCGTAAGAGCCTTGATAAAGGAGAGTTCTTGGCAGAGGGTGGTGTCTGCAAGAGAAACACCAGTTCCCACTGACAGATACTCAGAGGATGAGAAATAGCTCTCCTGTACACACAGAAACACCTCAGGATTGGCCTCCAATAGGAGAGATTTTACATCCTCATCTGGAGATCATCATGGAAAATAAGAATTTTAGAAAGCCACTTTATAGCTCTGAACATCAAAATAAGTAAACGTACAGCATCTCAGAAGTTCTAGAGATGAAGAGGCACAGACTTTTGGTGAGATTCCAACTAATTTCACTACGCATACAAAATCTGGCTTTAACTCTTCCTGTGCTATCAGTCCTAAGATTTCTACCTTCAAGCAGATTTCTAGTAAGATCTTCCACAGAATGGCTGAGTGCAGCAATCCACAGCACTCACTGCAGCCGGGACATACTTGGGCCCTTTCGCAGTGCAGCAGTTGGACAGACAGGACTGAGCTGCAAGGATGCGGGTAGGAGAAGGTGCTTTCTGCTGCTTACCTTCCAGAATGCAGAACATGTTGTGGGTGTATTTTCTGAACTGAGATCACCTGAAGATTCTTGGACATTTCTGACAAGCACCCTGAGACTGTGCAGCAGTGGGAAACTCAGTGCTGAAGCCCTTGTTCAGGGTTATACGTCCCCAGAGCAGCATGAAGCTAAGGAGGAGCAAACAGAGCCATGAGGGGAAACATCAGGGAGTTCCCTTGGAAGAATCCCCTTCATGGAGAAGGGCTCAAGCAACGATAGGCTTTTCGAGATTTCTAGAAACCTTCCAGATTCCCGGGATCAGCCAGAATGGGGCTGGGTTGTTATTTCCCCAGCAGTCTACTTCTAGAAACCAAACCTTCTAATACCTGCACACACAGAGAAGGGTTCAGCAGTGGACATGTCCTTGTTTTTTACATACATAATAAATAGGTGTGCTTGCAGCCCAGAGAATGCCCTGCTGCGCTGTTCAGCAGCTGGCTGGTGAACTTAATCCTTTTAAATAATCAGTGGGTTCTCTAATGGTACTCCCTGCCTTCTGTTCTTGCAAGCAGCCAGCTAGAAGTGCTTATTTGCAGTCAGGCCCTGCACGATGATAATAGATGATAAACATAATTATTTGGGGTCCTGATTGCCTGTGCTTTCTTCATTCTGTTGCTGGTGTGCAAAACAGTCTCAATGTTTTCAGTCTTATGGGCAGAAATTTTGAAGATGCAGACTTCTTCCTAAAGGAAGAATTGCACGTTCAGGGAAACAAACTGTTCAAGGCAACGAGCCGTTCACTGCACTGAGCTACAGCTGTGGCAGACTTCTGCTTTTGAAACACCAAGTCTTTAAGATGCACCTGAGCACTCTGCAAAGCCAAGGTCAGAGTGTGATGAGAAGTGAGTTTCATTATTCGGCCGTAAAACCAACAGACAGGAAAACATCAGCGATGAAGCAGTTAGACTGACTTCTGCTCATAGCAGTGCTGTCTCGCAGATATCACAGAACTCAGGATTCCAGGAAGCTGAATAACATTAAGTCTCCCAAAGCAGCAAAATGTTCCATTAGACCTATCAGTTGAGTGTGTGAAGCTGTGGGGTTGGGGAACACTGCTGCACTAGCGAGGAGCTGACTGTCTTCAGATCTGGAGCAGCAGATGCTTCAGATCAAAATTCAGAATCCAGACCTCTTACTTCTGTTTTAAAACAAAACTGGGATCCGATGCAGCAGTAGTGCTGTGCACAGAGGCTCTGCTCCACCCCACAAGCCCATGTGCCCAAATCTGCACAGCCACATTCAGACATGGGTGCATGGGTGCATGCAAACATGTACTGTGACACCGAGCAGGATGTGCACAGGAGAAAAAAGGGATGGCAAGCCCATCCCCCTGCTGTAGTCTTTTGTCATCTCTCTATTGTCATATGGTCCTTTCTGTAGACCTGGGCTGTGAACTGCCTTTTAAATGATCCATTCCACATGGTGAGAGATGGAACTGGTAAGGTCAGAACAGCCTGAACAGCAACAATCTTTCCTGCCAACTCAGGAGAAGGTGGGTTACTGGGAGAAGGCTAAGAGGCAGCAGGAACAGCAGGGCTGGCAGAAATGATACTCACACCAAGTAGCCCTGCTTTTCTCTAAGCTAACCCCATCGTGACCCGGCTCCTCAGACAGGCAGTGTCTGGGACACGGTAATGCAGAAAACAACTAGCTCTTTAAGTTTTATTATTAAATAAATACATTAATCCAGCTATCGTGAGGTGTTGAAGCCAAAGGAGAGATGAGAAAAGCCTTAGAACAGGTAACAAGAGATGTGTTTACTGCAGAGGAGAGAGAAGGCTTCTAACACAAGCAGGCTGTACACCACAAACATTCCCAGTGGTCTGGTAGGGCTGTACAGAGATATTTACACATATAGGCAGGGAGACGCCAATCCCTGGCTGATGAACAATCAACTTTTATTCTCTCCAGACCAGCAAAGCCAAGATTTTAGTAAACACGTAACCCCAGAAATGTGCCTGTGGATTGGATAGAGCAGAGCCTTGGCTCTCCTTGCCAAATAACAAAGCCATTCTCCTGTGGGTGGTTTCACAGCGAGGCTTCTGTGGGGAGGAAGTGTTTCTAGTGGTCAAGGCAGAGAACTGGGGTTCATGAGACCTGGCTCCCATCCCTGGCTCTATGCACATCAGGGAAGTTCTGACTGCAGCAAATGTGCACTCTTGCAGGAGCCACTGCTACCCTCTGTTCACCTCTCCTTCTTCAGGCACAAATTGCTCCTCGGAGGAACAAAGTGACACAGATTTTCCCCCACCTGATCCCACTTCCTGACCTTGCAGAGTTATTGCAGAGTCTGTGTGATTGATGTCTGCAAGCTGTCAGAGCTGTTTGGATGACAATCTGTCTGGAAGGTATTGGAAGACGTGCACACGTGAGCAAGAGACATGCAACCCACACACTCTACTTCCCTCCCTCCAGGCTCGCAAGCCTCCATCCAGATTTGCTCCTTCCACTACTTACACATTTAGATATTCACAAGATGGGCCTGCTGAAAATCTGTGTTATAAAGCAAAGTAGCCAACACTAGCTGAACATATGCCCTTACAAATATCCAACCCACTTCTTTGGTTGCACAGACTCCGCATTTTACTTACAAAACCAAGTGAATGCAAACACAGAGTGAAAGCCTATGGCAGATCCAGCCCAGCCCTACCCATTTCTGGTGGGCTGGCACAGTGCCCTTTGCATTGTCCCTTCTTTGTTTCAGCCACAGATGTCATTAACATGTTGCTTACCCCCTCTTCCAGCTCACTGATGAAAACACCAAAGAAGACTGGACCTAACCCTCATCCCTATGGCACACCTTTGGATAAGCACCTCCTAGAAGAGTTCCTATCAACATCATAGTGATGAAGGACTGCTGTCTTGAGGTTTGCATACCTATTAGAGCTAATGACTTCACCTTATTTTGCAATGAACACCATGGGGAGAACCTACCAACCTCACCAAAAAAAAATTGAAAGAAGGAACAGCACACGGTCACTCAGGACGGCTTTGTGTTTAGTAGGCACACCAAGTTCATCTGCTTATGGTGTTTTATCCCATTTCTCTTTCTACTTTCTGTCTCAGTTTTATCTGCACACTGTTAATTTTTTTAAACATTCTCTCACCTTGTTGGCTGCATTTCAAGAATAGGTGGCATGAGTCAACTGCAATGAGTGGACTAGCATAAAATGTTGTAAGATACTTCCCTCAAGTGGAAGGAATAAAAATCACTCAGCTGTGTGTCACAGGCTCTGTAGTATACCTCAGGTAGCAGAAAGAAAATGAGAGGTGGACACCTACATGAGGTAGAATCTTCCAACCTGCTTGAAAGGTGTTAGGAGCACATAAAAACTATCAGTGATACTGCAAAAAAAATCCCAGCCAACGTCCCTGCTCCACAAATGTCAGCACCTACAAGAACTCACCTGGACATCCTGTGCAAGAGATAACCTGTCAAGTTACTACAAGGACAGATAATGTATATCCATGACCAGGTTTTGAAAATGGCTTGAATGCTCGCTGAGCTGAAGTGTTCTAAGAGCTCCTACATCACATTCCAGCATAAATGGAAGTGGCTGCTTAGAAGCAGCCTGAGGGAAGACATAGCTGAGTCCTGTATAACAAGGCTTCTGCATCTATTAGGGCCTGCAGCAGGGCTGCAAGGGACAGACAGGATGGGAGGAACCAGATACAGACTGCTGGTAGAGCTGGTGTGGGTGGTATCTGTACTCACCCTACGGCTGATGTCTGATCTCATCACCACTGCTTGCCTCAAAGCAGGCGACAAAACGTGAACAAAGAATTCAGATCTCGCTGTAGTTTTACTGTTATGAAGATAGCAACTCTGCTCCAGTCTCTTCTGCATGCACTGAACAGGAGAGCATTTCATCTCCTGCAAATAAAAAGAGATAAGAGGGGCCTAGCACAAGGCAGGATTTGTCTCTGTAACTGATCAGTTCAACAAAAGGAAACACAAACCATTTATTAGTGAAAATGAATTGTGCCATCAAGGGAGATGTCTGCAATTATTTCTTTTAAATATCATGTTTCATTAACTGGAAAATATATAATTAATAAACTTGCCCCCTCATTTTTGTTAAGTTTCACTGCGAGGACCTTATTACTGAAATAAATCTTTCTAGCAGTGCGTGTTGACAGAACAGAGGAAGGTGCACGCCTCTGTGTGTGTGATAATTTCCTTATGTGAAACTGAATTACTAGGGAGAAATAATCACCTTTCTTCACAGCTAAGACTGTAGATATACCCCACTCTGAGACCAGTTGTTTAAGCTCATGCCTCTTGGAAGCAGGCAAGAAGAGACTGCTTTGGCTGGCAGATGACTTGATCCAAAAGACATCAAGCAGATGCAAGCTGTTCTTTCACTGCAAGTATGGAGATACAAAAAATAAAATTTATTTTTTGATTGACAGTCCATTAAAAAGGTCTCCTGACTATCTGGCTGTTCAGAAAGAGCTCGGTGGTTGGGCTGATATCCAGACTCTTTGACAAGCCCCACATTCATCCCCTCACAACACTGCACTAGACGTGCACAACTGAGATTGTTTTCCACATACACCAGAACTGCTATGATTTGGGGATGTTTGGTGATGGCTGTAAATGATACCAATTAGAAACACTTCAAAAATGCTGCTGAAATTTGACTCCAAGCATAAAATTCCCCTTAGATTTTGTCTCCACTTGTGATCTTTCCCTCAAGTTAGTTGATTGCCAGTTCACCGAGGGTAATTAAAATATTTCCAAAGGCTGTTCTGGGCAATCCTTTTTTGCCTTGCTGCAGGCTACAAATGTTCGTGGTTTGCCCTAGGCTGATGTTCATTCCTGCCTGATTTGGCACAAGAGCAGTGCATGCCAAACAAGGAGCAAAGCCTGCCTCCATCACAACTCTCCTTCCCAGGGTAGGTGGCAGAGGGACCTAGAGAGCAGTGGCAGGAGGAAGAGCAACACAAACACTCACTGGACAGATGGTGATGCAACTTCTGTGTAGCGAGGAGAAGAGGGCTGTGTGTATTTTAATAAAGCCCTATGATCTCACCGCTTTTGAGATGTCTGGATGCCCTCAGCAAAGTCAATGGGTTCTAGAGACAAGGGAGAACAAAAGCTCTGCGGGTTGTGTGCTGGGAAATCACAACCCCTAACTTGGTGCAGGTCAGACCTCAAGAAACAACATTAGACAACCTTACCTTGCTACTGCACTGAACCTACATAGAGGAGCCCATTCTCCACATCATTTTAACCAGCATTTATGAATGTTAAAACAGCCAACAAATTTGATTACACAGAAATTTTTGAGTCAGCAAATTATCTAGTTAAATGACGCATATAGAATTGGTAATTCAACAGCAACAGAAATCTTTTAAAATTTCTTACCATCTAAAGGCAATAACACTATAAAAAAATGAAAAGAGAAGGGCCAAAGGTATTGCCCTTGCAGAAGAAATCATATTTTAGGTATCACCTACAATGTAACCTTTCTGCAGTTACACAAATAGCACGGGTTGAGTTCGGGTTTAGAAGTAGTGGAATGGAAGCTCTGAAAACATTACGTGATGTATTACATCTCACAGTTATTTGCCCCGGTTGTGCACTAGGGGAGGGGATTGTGTGTCAGCTCATCTCCATCAACTCTGCATAAACACTGTGTACAAAGTATGACTTGACTTTTGCAGACAAAAGCACGACAATACCATGCAACGTGCACGCTCCCATCCCTCAACAGCTGAGAGCCCCTTTGTGCAGACACACTGATTTTTGCATTCCACAGCACCTCTGCTGGGTAGGACCAGGAACACTGGAGAACGAAGATGGAAAAGTTAAGCAACTTCACTCTCCAGCTTTTGGGCTGCACAAAGGGGAGGGAGCAGGGAGGCAAAGCATCTGGCTTCACTGCTTCTCTAACAGCCTGGCAGGAAGGCTGCTGTCAATTCCACCTTCTGCCTTGTTGGAAGAAAGTAGAAGTGACAAGAGGCCCTCCAGGCAAGCAGCCAGAAACCAGAAATTCAATTGAGCTACCTCCCCAAACTGGACTTTTTTGGAGACCCTTTCCCTGAAATTGTTTTGCCTTAAAAAAAAAAAATTTCTTCGCAGTTCAGGGCCAATTCATCATCCCTGGTCTCCTGGCTCTCCTTTCCTCCAAAAGCATGATTTGCACAAAGAGATTTCCATTTTCTGGGCTGCTCTACAGCCAGCCTCGCCCACAGTAAATACATACACACATAAATATGCACTCACACGCACGCACAAACATTGTTATTTATAGATAGAGGCATTGCCACAGATAAATACACGCGTGCGTTCCCCTCCTATATAACACATGAGAGAGAAGCAATGCTGCAGCTGAATTCACTCTACACTCGTTGATTAGGAAACAGAGTGTGGGACATACGGTCTATCTCTAGGGCTTAGACCAACTGGTTATTGGCTGGTGCTGTTTTTCTCTAACAAGCCCCTGGATATATCCCTGTGGCTGCAGAGAAATGTAGCTGAAAGAGCCTTTCACTGTCAGTAGCAATCTGTCACTTCATGTATCTTACCCTATCTCTTCCAGCACAAAAGCTTCGGAGCTGCAAGTCAGTTCGGAGAAAGGTCATTCTGCAGGTAGGCTCTGGTGTTTTTCTTTATTTCTGGGAACGTGTGGCCAGCTTGAGGCACTGTCTGGATGCTTCAGCATGTGTTTCAGCTCCACATATGCCTGGCTATAATTTAAGACAAGAGAGCATTTCCATTACAAACCCCATTTTTCCCATGGATTTATTTCCCTTCTATTTGGCTTCACTTTGGGGTGGACCTTCCCTGAATATATTCAGAGGCAGGGAGAAACTATTTTTCTTGTGCAATGTTTAAATCCAGGTCAGCCTCTTCTGGTTGTAAGAAATTACATATGCACACAAACACTCTGGAGCACGCACAAAAAGCTTATACAAACATATGCCCACAGAGAGATCTGTTACAAAAAAGACAAGCCAATGCAAATAAGCTCAATTTTAGAGGTGAATTAATTTGACTGACTTTATTATCCTAAATTATTAACAAGTTCTAGCAAACTTCGAATGCAATAACCCCACATGGGCTTTCATCTGAGTTAAACAGAAACAGATAACTTTTCCTGATAGACGTGGTATCAGCATAAATCTGCAACAGCAAAGTTGGAGGCAGAAATTCGACACAGGACCCCTCTCTTTGCAGGTTTGTGCTCCCAGCTCCTGTGTGGTTCTCCTCCCTGAAATATTCCAGTGAAATGAATCACCCTCCAACAATGCCAGAACTCCTCTGTTTTCATGAACACCAGCTGAAACCTGACCTCCACAGCATTCTAATCTGTTGATGACTTGGTCTGGCTCAGTGAGCCCATTTTGGGGGGCATTTTTTTTTTCTTTTTTAAACTCCTTTATTGATTCTACTTTGATGCAGCCCAATAAAGCACATCGACAGGAGCAGTTTGTGCTGAATAGTGCCTCTAGTTCCAGGAGAGCCTTCATCCCACTTCTGATGGCACTCACAAAGGATGATGTTATGCCCAGGCCTGTCTTTCAGCTATGCTGTAGATACCCTGAGTAACCCTGCAGAGGCACCACAGCCTTCCTGGACTTCACCTCTCCTCCAGTGATCACTTTTCCTGTGGTGAAATGGGGATGTTAGCTTTCCCCTGCCTTGCTGCAGTGCTGTTGTGCTATCTAGCTTGATGCAAATCCTTCCAGCGCCACAAGAAGCCTGATGAGGCAGTCAGGAATGCTGCAGATTTATGCCATCAGGAACACTACCCATATATCCAACCAGCTGGAAATGCTGTGGCTGTCCTCAGGATATGTGGCATTCCCTCTTTTCTTGATCTTTCTCCTGAGAGTAGGAAAACACTAAGAATATCATCCAGGAAAAATGGTTAGTTTTCCCATAGTGTTTTGTGACTCCTAAGTACAATGTAATCATTTTCTCTCGTGAACTTTCTGCTAAGAGGACACAACAACAAGGCAGAGAGCTGCAGAGACTGAAAACATGAGCCCAATTTACCCACAGAGCAGATGAAAGTTCCTGTTGTATTTTTTATCTAAGTACAGCAAATCCCTCTGCCAAGCAACAGCCCAGGTGGCCACAAATACTGAAATGCTAACTGCCTGCATGGTATGCAGGCAGGCACGCAGTGAGTCCTTCCAGGAAGGCAATGCCACCTGTCAGCAGCACTGGGAGCTGGGGGACGGCTCTGAAGGCATTGGAGAGCTGCTGGATTCT